AACCTTTAACCCCCCCCCCACCCCCCCCCCCCCCCCCGTAAACTAAAGTCGAATATTCAACTACACACTTAACCTTTGCGGGTCCTATTGCCCTCCTGAACTATAAAGTGAAATTAAAACACCCTTGACTGATGATGTGGTACAGGGTTTGTGCTCACTCTCTTGGAGGTGTGAGGCCAAAATGAGTTAAAAGCTGATTAATATGTACACGTGTCATTTTTTAATTGGCCACTTTATATTTAGTTACATCAAAATAACTATTACTAAAACTGAAACTGATGTATCTTTTTTTCCTTTCTTTTTTTTCTTCTTCTTTTTTGAGATATAATCAAACTTTTCTTCTTTTTTTTTCCTTTCTTTTACATTAAACTAGTAATATTTTCCCTTTCATCTAGCATCTCAAACTTCCCTCTTTCACCAGATCGGCTGACTACCCCACATTAAATGGTGAACTGTCGGCTGATGATCAATATTCTGAAAAATTTCCAATTGCTTGAAGAAATACTTTTGCCTTTTTTGGCCTAGTCCATGTTTTCTGATGAATTCAAGTGTACAACATTCATTCGATCCCGTAAAATGAGACTAAATGGCAAAATTGCAGACCATCTTGATTTGAAAGTAATGAAGAATAGTTTGCAATTTCTGAAACTAATCGAAAATTGGATAATACTGTTGAACCTCCATCGTCGTCCTTCTACTGTAAAACCCAAGAAACCCATCCCAATTCCAGACACGAAAGAGAAGATGGGTGTGAAAGAAAGAAAGAAAATGAAAAAATAAACAAAAAGGAATGCAAAAAGAAAAAAAATTGAAAAGAATGAGAAAGAGAAATGTAAAAAATTATAAAATATACACCAGCGCGTGTATGTTGTACCAGAAATCTGGCTGTTTAGTATCAGGGTGATATTAATTCCATTTTTAAATAGTTCAGGGGGGGTAATATACCCCCGCAAAGATGTGTGTAGTTGGAAATCAGACTTTAGTTCGGGGGGTACTTATGTCTTTTCCATTTGTGTCTCGTCTGCTGCATAATCAGATTTCAGTTCATAGTGGACCTGAAAACATTTTTGTCAACTGTTTTGGGCCTGTTGGAATACTACCTCAGCTTCCATCATTATTTATGACGAAGAATTAATGTTTGTTGTTTGTATGACAGATTTTCACTGATGCTGGCCAGTATGTGATTCGGTTCGGGAATGCACATTCTAGTATTTGTCCTATTACAGGGGTAAAGCACATCTACGAAATCTAAAACCTTCACTTATTTTTTCCAGTTACTCATAAGCGGGGAAAACACCTGTACTAAAATCTTAAACCTTCACTTAATTTTTCCAATTATTAATAAGCATTTTCAACTATCAAACAACCTTTTGTAGACTAATTTACCAAAAGAATAGTCGACGGTGAATCCGTTGCGGGAAGAGCTGAAAATTGTTATTAACTTGTGTCAAATAGTTTATTGGTTGCTGTGTTATGTGAATGCGTGTTGAGATCATCTTGAGCGAGCTAGAAATGCAAGGTGGCATATATTGTGACAAGTGGCTGGTGTTTATCAGTTGTTTTGAGATGATTCCTTTTTCTTTATTAATGTAGATTCAAGAGTTGGAAGTAGCTCGCCCTTTAATCCTATCAGAAAGAGCAGTAGCTGTTGCACTTGCTATATCTCTGGATAATGATTATTTTTCAAGACATGGAGGCTGGTGAGTAATTTGGTAATCGATTTATCCTGTGTTTGCATTAGTTTGTGCATAACTAATGAACTGTTTACCCATTACGGGAAAGCTGCACATATGCTGGCACAGTATTGCTTTTTGAGAACTGACTGCTAACTTCAAGTTAAATTTGATTTATTCTCAGGGGAATACCATTTGTTGTAGTCAGTGAATGAGATTAAATATGTGTACTTAACTAGAAGATGTATAGAGCACCAACGTGGGAGTAATCAAGACCCTGTTTTCTCAAGATCTCTACAGTATTCTTCATTATGTTTTAGATCATCCTACTGATCAAAGATCATCATACTCATGAAAAAGATCATCCTGCTGTAAGAAAATGCTGCTCGGTCAGGTACTCACTGGTTCCTCTTTCAAGTATTAGTCTCTGCTGTTTGTTGGCCTTCTAGTTTTGCTACACAGCTTGTTCTGATGATGATGATGTTTGGAGAAGTCTTCGCGCTGGAGTAAGCTCCCTCCATCTTAATGTTTTTGATGGGGTTCGTTATGTGATTTCATTGCATTTTAGCTAAAAACTTTTACTTGCTGTTTATGCCCTTGAACTTGTAGTGCTTTCTCTACTGAGAATCGACACGAAATGTTCTGTCAATGTCAATTTGATATGTATATCAGCTGAGAATTTTAGCGTTCCTGGACTACTTGGAATCATACATTTTAAAGTATTATCATAGGTTCAATTATCAATTATGTACTTTACTGTTACTACCAATGCACAATTGTCTACCATATATGTTTATAGACAATAAATTGCGTCGAGAAAATATAATCGAGACCGAAAAATATTGCAACAATCGTAGTATTTGATTTCCAATATTTGAGTGTACAATCTCTATGAATCCTCTGATTCTTCTCTCCAATAGTAAATAAATTCAAGGGCCTTTGAGCTTGATCTTGAATATGTAGTTGTTGCCACGAACGATGATCTCGAATTCAACTAGCACGTACTTCGATTTGAACTCGTACTCCTTGAACCTTGATTTGTTCTTCGTTCTTGAGCTTGAACTTGATTTCTTGAACTTGAACTTGAACTTGATTGCTTGAAGCTTAAAACTTGTAGAGAAATTTGCGGCGTTTGATCCACGAGCTCTCTCTTTCTTGTTATAACTTCTGGTGTCTTTTGAGTTATGAAGACCCCTATTTATAGTTGTGGGAGGGAAGAGTTATGATAAGAACAAACTCTTTCCAACCAATCAAATTGAAGTGTGACAAGGCCGTATTTGATTGGCCTGAACATGTCACTTGCATACGTGGTGCGATTTCATTGGCCTTTTAATGTGACTTGGCATGCCTTGTCATTTTGACACGTGGCATGATCCCATTGGCTTTTCAGTTTGACTTGGCGTGCCATGTCATTTGACACGTGGCACCACACTGGGCCTCTAGGAAGATGACATCTTGGGCTTAACGAAGTGGGCTCATCACTTTAGCTCAATTAAATGGACTGGCCCAATGGATTAAGATTTATTTATTTAATCCATATGTATTGAACATATATAATTAATTTAATTATATTAGCTGATAATATTTATTTGGACTAGTATATTTAAAATGTAATCCAAGTTATTTATTGAATTTGAATCCGATAAATTTTATATGCCTACAATGTTGATTTTTGATTTTTTTCCTTTAATTAACCAACGAGATATATACCTATTGCTTACTCCGTCACTGTAATCAGGAAATATCGTGATTAGATTTTACCTGTTGTAATCATTGGGTAGACATATTCAGGCTTGTCTTGGGGGCGGCATCTTACTTCTGCAATCCCATTCTCCTCCGTGGTGTAATTAGTGTTTCAATAGGTGGATGATTCGGGTTAAGTCCTACCTTTTGCTGGCCTTACATATTCATTGGTCATTCTGTGTGTCCCATATTTATTGCCATCTCGGTTGTTCTCGAAATGGTTCTTATGTCTTACTCTGGGCGCACGAATGACAACTGTAAACGTCACACATCCCTTCTCCTGTATGAATTAACATCGTTCCATTTCGAAATATGTCCACCAAAGGAAATATGGCAAACTAAAATACCAAAATTGGTGGAATCCTCTTTGTTAGGTTCGAAAGTTTCACAGATTATCGCTTTCTCTCTCTAGGCTCTCGGTGCACGTTATGCTAACATACGCCGTCTGAGAAGCAGCCATGGCGAGAAAGCGAGGACGTCTAAAACGAGAGCCACGCGTGACGGTCGGCGAAGCCATCAGTGCAACAGTAATTGCAGATACTCTAGCTAAAGGATCCATACAGCAATTGCAGCAAGTAACTACACCAATTGGACACCAATTTCAGCCTAATTCTCAGAAATTAGGCTCATCTAGTACTAAGCGACCGGGGAAAAGGATAGATCTCAACGTAGTTCAGATGAATGTGTCTTCATCTTCATCTGAAGGCACACAGTAAGTACAACAATGGAGATTATGCATGGTAAAGGAGAAATAGCAGAAGTTGAGCTGAATTTCAATGGAACAGTAATGATAGAGCAAAATGATGAGCCAAAAGTACATGCAGAAGCACCGGTGCTGAGGAAAACATGGGCAAATCTGTTTGCTGGCAACAGATCTTCAGAAAATGGTATGGTATTATCATATATTCCACCGGAAATTGTAGATGATAATATTGTGGTCAAATTAGATAAGGAAGAGATTGAGTCGCAAAATAAAAGGTGGGAATGTGCCCTAATTATCTATTTAGTTGGGGATACACCAAGGTACAAATTCATGGAGAGATATATAGCTCATACTTGGAGTCGTGTGAGTATCCCAGATCTGTATTTGCATGAAGAAGGATACTACATAGCAAAGTTTGATACACTAGGTGATTTGAAAGACATTCTCTATGGAGGACCATACACTATTAATGGAAGGCCAATGATATTGAAGCAATGGACACCATAATTTGACATTAAGGCAGAATTTCTGATGGAGATACCTTTATGGATCACCTTTCCTAACTTGCCTATGAGCTACTGGGAAACAAGACTCTGAGTAAATTAGCTGGTGCTATTGGGGAGCCACAGTTTGCTGATGAATGTACTACAAAGCAGACGCGTATATCATATGCTAGGTTCTGGTGGAAGCTAATGTGACAAAAAAGCTTCCAACAGTATTGACATTACAAGATCCATCAGGGAAAATGATTCAACAACAGGTGGAGTATGAATGGAAGCCTCAATATTGCATAGACTGCATGAAGATAGGACATGACTGTGCATTGGAGAAGAGAATGAATAAAGAAGAGCAGCATAAAGTAAGAAAGAAGCAAGGAAAAATTACCACAAGGTGGCAAGTTAAAGGGCAAGGGCAACAACAACAAACATAGCAAAATGAGGGAACAAGCAATTCAATGATGCAGGATATTGCCAATGTGGTTACAGTTAATGAAAACTCTGGGAATCCAGGGGTAACAAGGGATAAAGGGAAAGCAATAAATGGACAAAGTAATGAACAAAGAGAAGAGTGACCTGTACTTGCTAGCAATAGTAGATTAACAATGGGATCAACAGCAATACCTACAAAAAATGGCTTCCAATTACAACAAGAAGATGAGAGAATGGAGAAACCTATACCACCTGATTGGGGAGGTGGAATTATCATTCACCAATGACTTGGTTAATTTGGAATATTAGGGGATTGAATAAGAGGTGTAAACAAAAAGAAATAAAGCAGTACATAAAGGATAAGCATATCAAGTTGGCTGGGTTAGTTGAAACAAAGGTAAAAGAAGGCAATGCAGGAAAGGCGATTAGTAGAATAGTCCCTGGATGGAATAAGATGACTAATTATGAATATGATGTGAATGGAAGGGTGTGGATTATATGGGATGAGCAAATGTATGCAGTACAACCACTAGACAAACAAGATCATTTCATTCACTGCCTAGTCACAGGGAAGTAAAATGGGATACATTGTTATCTCACAGTGGTGTATGGACAGAATACTGCAGATCAAAGAAGAACTTTATGGGAGCACATAAAAAGGATAGCAAAGGTTACTAAAGGACCTTGGTTATTAAGGGGAGACTTCAATGCTTTACTCACTATCCAAGATAGAATATCTAAAGTGCCGGTGACAAATGCTGATATAAAAGACCTTGCTGAGCTATGTCATGATATTGGTATTGCAGAATTACCATGGAGAGGGGATTATTTTACATGGACTAACAAACAACAGGGTGTTAATAGGGTGTGGAGTCGCATAGATAGGATGTTTGGAAATGATGTTTGGATGATGAATTATATCATCTGATTACTGACTATGGGGAACCTTATATTTCATATCACAATCCCATGTCCATCAATATAAGGCAACCTAGGATTCACAACAAGAGCCCATTCAGGTTCTTTAATGTATGGTCAAGTCATTCTAACTTTGGGGTGATAATAAGGGAAGGATGGAGCGGGAACAAAGTAGCAGGGAAGATGGAAAATATTTGGCTCAAACTTAAAGGGATGAAAAGGCAGTTTAGGCATCTAAATGTAACTGAGTTCAAAGGAGTAGCTGAAAAGATAGATCAAGCAAGGCAAACTACATGTCACATTCAAAGCCAGATGCAAACTAGTTATAGTGATATGTTACAAGTCCAAGAGAAAGAATAGTTGCATAAGCTGGAAACATGGTCAATGGTGGAAGAAGGGATACTGCAGCAAAAAGCTCGAGCAAATTGGATCAAATTGGGGGATTCTAATAACAAGTTCTTTTCTACAGTTACAAAAGAAAGGCAGCAGAAAAAGCAGATTACTGAATTGCAGGCACTATCAGGGAGTACTATAACAGAACCTACAGCTATCATGGAGGAGATTGTATCTTTCTACAAAGGTTTAATGGGATCCAGTGCACATATACTTCCAGCTGTTGATATGATGGTAATGAGAAGAGGGCCAACTCTAACACAACAACAACAAGAAGAATTGAATGCTGAGGTTACTATCAAGAGATAGATGAGGGTCTGAAGGGGATAGGAAGTGATAAAGCTCCTGGTATAGATGGATACAATGCAGAATTCTTCAAGAAAGCATGGCCAGTGATTAAAGAAGAAGTGTATGTAGCAGTGAAAGAATTTTTTCATACAGGGGTGATGTTTCCAGCAATTAACTGCACCACCATTACTCTACTGCCTAAAATTCCTAATCCGGTGACAATCAAGGACTTTAGACCTATTGCTTGTTGTACAGTGTTATACAAGCTTGTTTCTAAAATCATTGCTGGTAGGCTACAGAAGATCATGCCCTGCATCATATCTGAAGCCCAAGCAGGGTTTATCCCAAGGAGGAAAATAGCTAGTAACATCATTCTTGCTCATGAGTTAGTTAAGGCTTATAACAGGAAACATATCTCTCCCCGATGCATGTTGAAGGTTGACATGATGAAAGCTTATGATTCAGTTGAATGGGTATATTTGGAGCAACTGCTAGAGTATCTATGTTTTCCCACAAAATTCATTAACTGGGTGAGAACTTGTGTATCAACAGTGAGTTATTCAATCATGATTAATGGGGAGTTGACAAAACCTTTTGAAGCTGCCAAAGAGCTCAGACAGGGTGACCCCATGTCACCATTTTTATTTGCAATTGCAATGGAATATCTAAGCAGACTACTCAAAGGGTTGAGGCAAGCTAAGGAATACAAGTTTCATCCAAGGTGTGGTAAGCTAAATATCACTCATCTCAGCTTTGCAGATGATCTATTGATGTTTGCCAGGGGGGGATAGTAAA